AGTATAAAAAACGGAATATTAAGGGATAAAGATATGATAACTTTCATTCTCATCAATGTTCATTGTTAGGAAGGGAAGTGGCAATAGGGTCATTATCATGACCTCTCTTTAAAGGATGACCAGGAGGTTGTTTGTTTGGATTCATTGTCTTTCCTTTCCCTGCAATCTTTTTAGGCACCTATACAACTTTACTTTGTTCTATTGTTCCACTTAATTCACTCAAATATAAGGTCCTCACAACAATGTCCTCTAACGTGTTTCCTGCACCTTACATCCACCAACTAAAATAACTAGAGTTGCACTGGCGATCAATATGTCCAATAAGCCTTGGAATATAAAATGTAGCGCTGGTATTCACTTGAGTAAGGGATAACCACAAGCTATAGAGCTGGTGGGGACTAGCATTATAAAATAAGTGCTTTGGAGACCTCGGAAGCTTTGATGGAAACCTTGTTGATGAATAAACATGTGTGGACTATACATTTCCAAGCAACATTGAGACCCTTGACATAACATCACATAGCCTGGGCGAATGCTAAACATAAATTCTCTAGACTCTATGGAGCAAGAATCATCATCTAAACGATTTCCAAGATTTTGAACATTATATTACAATTTTCCGGGTCTCAAACTAAAGTCATTCTCTGACATGGCTCCATGAAGGAGGTCTCGAGCTGACTTGGCTTCTACCTAATAGAAGAAGTAGGCATTCAAGAGTGCTTGGAACATCTCAATGAGAGGTCGTTCATAAGTCGGCAAAACATCAGTGAAGACACCTCTAACAAAGTATAGTCCAACTCAAGCATACAAGTAATGTTCAACAAATGCAAACACCGATGCCCCAAGGAAGTTAGATGACCCCTTTACTTGCGCATAGGTGTTTGAAAGACCTTAATAAATGCTTTCTAGCACAGGAGAAACCAAGCTATATGTAATGTCATGAGCCATTTGTGATGCTACCTTAAATGTTCTAGGATGAATAATGTTGAAGTCATTTGAGGGAAAAACAAAGCGACACAACCACAAAGCTAAGTAGGATGTTATCTAGGCTTAATTCTCAACTACTTGATCCCTAGGAAATCCTAACCTGACAAATGTATTTTCTTTGCACCTCTTAGAGATGACCTTCTTTCCTCTCATTTGCAAAGGCCTATCAATTTTCCTAAATGCATAATGTTCCTTGATCTTTTTGTTGAAATCATGTCCAAACTTGGCATCTCTGTAATCCTAGAGAAAGTGAGGATTCAAAATCCTTTCATTTGTTGTATACCAGAACTCAAGCCAATCTACATGAGTAACTTGGTCGAATCTTTTTTAGAAGGCAAGTTGAGCATAGGCTTTGAACAAATTTCTGGCATGCCCAGTGCGAAGGAAGACAAATTAAAAAAAAAATGTAATAAAAAAAAATACAAGGGAGTTGAACTCTCTTTGATTTCTGCTCGATGACGTGAGCAACCTCTAATTAATGGACGGATTTGGTGAAGACGAGGGTCGTTGGCGTGTTTCACGTACTTCTTGAAGTGTTGATGTAGATTCCTTGATTTTGGTGTTTTAGCTTAAATATTCACATGTCTATAGCATGATAATAAACAGAGTAGGAATACTTAACACTGGCATTTCGGTGCAGCAATGATCGGAGGAGTAGGGGTGAGTGGTACAAGAATAGTAGTAACAACGAGCTCACATGCAACTGTAAAAGGAAAAGAGTTTGTATTAGGGTAAAACATAAAGCATGGGATCAATGTTAAAGAGTTAAAATGATGTAGCGTGGATGGGTCCACAAGAAAAACCCGTGGACAAGAAAATGGGTTATGGTGTGGACTGGTTCACGAGATAGCGTGGATCAATCTACACCACACCACAACCGAACGCACTATACAGGAATGGTGTGGATTGAAACGCAAAATGTCGTGGCCCATCCACACCACCTAAGTTTATACCTGATTGTCGTTAATCATCCATTGGTTCAAATACCATGTGCATCAGACGGGCCATTCTACTAGTCTTGTCTAAACTTTTTTTTTTTTTTTTATTTCACCACTACCTTATTCCGTAAAAACTGGATGTTGTATCTCCGCCCTCCTCACCAAGAACTCAACACTATGCCTTAGCGGTTCACTATAACAAATCAACAATTCGACACCATCATCTACTAGTTTGACAGTGTGCCAATATACCTTTATAAATACTTGTCTTTTAAGTTTACAATGGATTCCCTTCTTGAGTATACAGCAAAGATTACAACTCAAACTATCTTAAATAGTGGCACACAAGTAATGAAGCTTATCTCCATTGTTCCTTAATCTATTGGTTTCTAGTTTCAATGCACTTTCACACTTTTTCTTTGTTATGATTTCCAATTAAGCTCTTCTTTCATATTGTTACTAATCTCAAGATTAACTTTTTATATTGAAGAGAAAATATAATTATTTGAATCACTTGGCTTTTATCCACTTTTTTGGGTTAATTCTTTTTCTAAGACAATAGGCTAAAATAACTTTGAATATCCCTATAATCTTTCATATTTTATGTTTAACTTTTGAATTTCACTTTTTGCATTTTGGATAAAGGCATTAAGCATTCAACATGTTTATTGTACCATCGTTACAAGGCACATTAAATAATCAACATGCTTGTTATACTATTCTTAGAAGAAGCATTAAATGTTTATCATGTCTTTTTGGACAACCTTATAAGAAGGCATCAAATGTATTGTACAAACTTCATAATGTCAAAACATCCAAGGGGTGTCTAATGTACTCATGGGATGTCTCTTGTGTTCCACTTCCTCAGAATGAGATGTCCCTACATGTTTATCATACTCTTTTTAGTTTTTTTTTTTTTTTCAGGTTCTAGTTTTAAACATATTTTTATATCTATTATTTAAAAATGGGTTCTCGTAAACAGATGCATCAAGGACCATCATATCGATTATTTGAACCATGACGCAAGTGTTAAAATTCCAAATCTTGTATAAAATATAGATGGAATTTAAAACTATATTATTTTCTATTTTCAATTAAATTGGACTGTATTGGATTTTTAGGGCTGTAACAAATATTCAACTGCCTTGTGTGATTTTGAATTCATTCAAATTCGAATTCAATCACATTAAGAGAGATCCAAATTTGATCTATTTATAATTGGGCCGAATATATATCCACCCTATTAAAATCAATAATCCAATTTGAATTAATTAAAATTTATATTGTTTTTTATTTAATGCAAATTTGAATTAATGTTTTTCATAAAATATAATATCAAAGTCACTTTTTAATTCATTTTATTAAAACTATATTATCTTCTGGTATCATAAAATTTTCCTACAATTGGATATTGAATGGTATAAACAAATTAAACTAGTCTGGATCTACTAACCACAACACATTGCTAGCCACGTTCACCGGTCATACATTGGGAACGTTTCGTATACTTTATATTACATATATATACGATGTGTGGCTAGATGAACACAACCAAATGTTTTTTTTTTTTTTTTGGTACTTAACACAACACACACCAACTTCAACGTAGATGATAATAGTAGGATTCGAATCCACGTCTCTACTGAGCCTACCTAACTAATATGCCAACCGAGCCATCACTTAGGGGGTGTTCTTTAGTATGGATGAGAAATTGGTGGGTGTAGATTAGTCCACACCACACCCTGTGGCAGGTACACCACACCACACCACACCTTGTGGCAGGTACACCATACCACAATCCACAATTGTTTTAAATTGTTGATAGATTGTATGGATTGGACCAATCCACACCCACGGTGGCGTTCCGTAGGTGTGGTGTGGATTGGTCCACACCATACTTTTTGATTCCATGTATATCATGTACATTTTATGGGAGATTTGCATAGTCGATCATAAATGTCTAATTTTTGCATTTTACATGATAAATAAATTAAAAAAAAGCATCAATATGTAGACAACAATTGCATTTTTTTTAAATAATTAAAAAATATTATTTTAAATAAAAAATAAATTTTATTTTATTGATAAAAATATTAAAAAAATAATATTTAAATAATAAAAAATAGTTGGGAAGGAGAACCATCGGACTTGTTCTTGAATTAACCTTAAAAATTATTATTTTATTGATAAATTATTAAATTTTAAAATTTATTAAAAGATTAAATAAAATGAGAGTAATTGGACCAATATAACGCATGTGCGTTACACTAAAATCTTCCCACAAATTGTCCACATAATAATGTGCACCATCCACAAGAAAATACTGTAGACGATAAATTGGGGCATGTCCCATTCCTGTCCATGCTATTTTGTAGACAAGGACTGTCCACACAGCAAAATACCATATTTTATCGTAGACAATACCAAAACAGTCACGTCCACGCTATTTACACACTATGCCACCTAAATTGGTAGTAACCAACAATGTGTTGTCTAGGAGATCCAAACTCAAATTAAAGCAAGGGATATTGATGGATACCCATGATTGATCATCTTTTCTATGATACCGGTTGATAGGTCATACAATTTTCCGGTATCATGTCTTCTTGAGTTTGGATTCTGCGCTTTTCCTATTTAGCCAAGTCCATAATTTTTGGGAAAATTTGGAAGAAGTACAAATGCAAATATGTATATGTATAGTGCAAATACATACAAAATACAAGGCTTTGCACTCTTCCAAGCTCAGCATTTGAGCGAGGCCGGTCTAGAAATGATCACCCTAGAGAAGCTTTTTCCCCTTCAAAAAAAATATATATATATCTTTTTCAAATTTTTATTATTGATTAATTATTTCAGGGAAACCGGTTCAATCAGTTCCTTAAATACGTGCCAGTAACTCAACAGCACCAACTGGCCCAGCAGATCGCGACTCCTTCCAATGATTCAAGGGTTGCAGACCATTCACTCCTTGGATTACGTAGCCCAGAGATTCGGTGACACTCGCATGACCAATTGATGTATAGGATAACCCTAGTCCCTAAATTTTCAATTTTTCATTCAAAAAAGGGACGGGAGAAATAGATACGGGACAAAAAAGGCCAAACCACACGCTAACTCGCAACAGGAGAGGAGAGCAGCGACGCCCTACTTGGCTTCAAAATTAGGGCTTTACCAAATACTAAACTTGGGCTGGGGCTAGCTTTTCAGAAAAGATACTCCTGGATAGCCAGACGGACGACTAAGAACTCTCTGCGTGATTTGGGTAAAGCACACCATATCGGAAGACAGGGATTAAAGAGAAATGAGGATAAATTAGCGGTATTCGTTAAGACCAATCATCGTAGAACGAGAAGGTTAGTTCAGTTCCTTTCATTTATGCATTGTTTTTTCTCCTTATGTTTCTTCTTTTTTCATCCATCAAGAATCATATCTTTTTAGGGTTTCGTAATCTCTGCACGCTAAATGGCCGTTTTCATGTTCTGTGCTTTTGTATGAATTGGGTTTTGGTTGTTTTACTGTTCTGTTAATGCACCGAAGGTTGATTTTTTGGATGGATTTTCTCACTATAACAGGATGCATGTCTGGTGCCCTTTTGATTAATTTTTCGCTGTGAAGATCTTGCTGCAACAAATCGTGTTAACTTGTTTATTCTTTCTCTGCTACTGGTTTTGTGCTTGTTTGCTTTCTCTGCACAGAAGCTCCTCTTTCTATATGGCTGGCGTTCTGAATTAGGGAATTAACATTTGGTAATTTGAGTTCTGACTGCGATGGAATTCTTCCTTTTTGTACATTATCCTTTTCCAGAAGGTTCACCGGTTTTGGTTATTTACATGCGGGGAGCTGAAATAGGGGTCTTTACTGCTATATTTCAACCAGCTCGCATGTGTTTTGCTTTCAAGTCCATAAATAGGGACTTGGTTATGTAATTACCTTCTAGAATTTCAAATCTGTTTTAATTGGCTTTTATTTTAGGTTGTGAAAAGTTATGTTAGCCTTGTTTTAGTGCTGCATAGACACGGACACGAGAATCAGAATCCAATGCGTGTCCGGGAGTCTGTCTTGGCAAGATATGGACTCGCGGACATGTCTATTGGCAAGTTTAAACTATTAAAATACTCCACATTTTGTTGAATTTTAACGTTATAGTCCTTGAAAAAAGTTCTTAAAACTTTCGTTGATAATCAATATGTACATTATTTCATTTCCATCAAATAAACAATTGGAGAAAGAAGATGTCATGTAGAAGATAATAATAACTCCTTCACTTGTCAATACACACACAAAAAAAAAAAAGAAAATTTCACATAGAAGTGACCCAAGAATCCATCAAGTGTCGGTGTTCATGCATGTCTGACAGACACCTTATCCATTTTGGAGAGTCCATGCAACACTATTAGAGCCTTTACTTTCTGGTTTGTTGCATGATAATTCCATTTGCATCTTTCTCTTCCATCTCTAATTTAAGGGTGGATGGTGTTTATTGGGGGGCGCAAATACATTTCTGGGGTGGACTGAACTCTAAAAAGGCCTTCAAATTTTAACAATTTCTCAACCCGAGCCCAACCAAGTCATACCCCTACTCTTAGTGTACTCTATATTTTTTAGCATCTTGCAATTTCCTTGTTAATGGAAAATTTACTGAATTACATTCTACTTACTAATAATTAACTGGTACCCAACATGCATGAACTCTAGCTGATTTTTTTTTTTTTTTTGATAATTAACTCTAGCTGAATTTTCTATTATAGACTTCTATACTTGAAGGTGATGCAGGTGTGAATCTCTCTACTCATAGTAGGATTTTTTCAAAATGGCAAGGACTCCCTCATCTGATATAGATGATGACTTCAATGAAATTTATAAAGAGTATACTGGTCCACCTGTGTCAAATGCCACTAGTGTGCAAGATAAAACAAAAGGAAACAAACGGCCTCAAGTAAGTTCTGATGAGGAAGAGGAGCCACGTGACCCAAATGCTGTCCCAACTGATTTTACTAGCCGAGAAGCTAAGGTATGGGAGGCTAAATCTAAGGCCACTGAGAGGAACTGGAAAAAGAGAAAAGAAGAAGAAATGATATGCAAAATATGTGGAGAATCAGGTCATTTTACACAGGTATGGTGTTTTCATTTTGCTAATTTAATCATAGTTATTATCTCATAGGATGTTTATTTGTTTTTTTTTTCCTTCTATATTTTCTTTTCTTATATATTAGCTCCTTTTGTATTTGTTTTTGGGTAGGTAAATGTATATTTTGTTATTCCAAGGAGGTAAGGACAATGAAAAGGAATGATGTTTTTTTTTTCAATTTTCTTTTAGTTCAAGATTTTCCAATTTACATTTTTTTAACCAAATTGATGGCAAACTCTTGTCCTTATCCTTTTCTAGGGCTGGATAATGTTTCCTATGATATTAGCTAGGAAGGAAGGTTCTTTTCAGAAATTTACTAGCAATGTATTATGAATGGTAAAAGCATCATATGCATAATACTTATGAGTACATGAAAGGATGTCAAGTGACATACAATATTATGGACAAACAACAAGAAAGTCGAGTTTTTAATGTTAGCATGCTTGGCCTTTCATTATTATAATCTCTTAATTGTGACAAGAATGATACTGCTAAAAAATGTGATAATTCTTTCAGTTTCTTAACTTTCTAGTTCCTTGTGCTGTAAACTCTACTTTTTCGTGTAGAGAGTTTTTCAATTTTGTAATTCATAAAATTTCTTGAAGTGATTAGTTCCAAGTGGACTATTTTGGGGAAAGGATCTCAAGGACTTGTGCCTTTGAAGGACTTAGTTATTAGTAAACTTTCATAGTTGAGAAATCCAACACATCAAGTAAAATTTTAATTTGGAATTTTTACTTGCTTGAAATAGCCTATTAGCTATTATCTCGGGTAAGTTTCTATACTATTTCTCTTATGTGGGATCTGACCATTCAAAGGAGTATCATACTTGGAAAATATGGTATCTGTTAAATACCGGAATGGGTTGTTCTATGTAAAATACATGACTGCTCAAAAGGATTATTTTATTGAAAGATAAAAGTGCACAACTGAGTTAAATAAAAGGGGTGGAAATTATATGAAGTATTCAGGGAAGCAATGGAAGACCACCAATTTGATTGCATGCTTCAATCAGAAAATTGAATTGGGGCCTTAGACATGTAGATTAACTACTCCGGTCCTGCATCTGAATCTGATACTAAGAAAATCTCAACTGCTTAACTCCAATTCTGGATGTGCAAGATATATGTTACTAACGTTTGCAATAACAGATTCACAATCTTCATTGAATATTTTTTTCCATTTTGGTAAAAGAAAGACGAGACCCAAATATTAGTGTGCCAATTTTGTTTTGGTTTCTTTGGAAAGATTCTCATTTACCTTTTATATGTTCTAAGATTATTATCATCAAGCCTTATCCAAACCATATGGGAAAATTCTTTTCCAACTTTTTCACTAACCATACTAGTGCCATTTAGTGGTAATCAAGTGATAACCTTGTTGACTTGTTGCTTATTATCTTGGCAGTGGGGGAAATGCTATAGCTTGGCCACCACTTGCCTAGGGCATAATCTAACTGAGGTCTAGGCTAGGTGAAGGAATGACCATAGCTATGCAATATCTTCACCTAGGTTACCGTTTGTGACCATTAACGTCTTGATTTCCACTATTTTTATTTTATTTTAGTTTTTTTAAATGGTTTATTTATCTTGCTCTTCAACATAGGCAACATATTTTGCAGGGGTGTCCATCCACTCTTGGAGCAAATAGAAAATCTCAAGATTTCTTTGAAAGAGTACCTGCAAGAGAAAAACATGTAAAGGCACTATTCACAGAGAAAGTGATCCAGAAGATTGAAAAGGACATTGGTTGCAAAATTAAAATGGAGGAGAAGTTTATTATTGTCAGTGGAAAAGATAGGTTATGCTTGGCAAAAGGTGTGGATGCTGTGCACAAAGTGATTAAGGAAGAGGGTAACAAAAATGGTTCTTCTAGTTCCCATAGGACCAGATCTAGGTCACCTGAAAAAAGCCCTGTTGGCTTGCGTGTGGGACGTTCTGAATTGCATAGGTCTCTTTCTAGTCCACGAAATGGATCAGGGTTCCAAAGAAAATTTGGAAGGCAAGAAAAGGTTGTGGAGGACCGTCTACGGGAGGATCTGAAACAGGTGTCAAGGGGTTCTCCACAAGGTAGGGACAGGATACTATTTGTTTACAGCATCCATGTAAAGCTGGTAAACCCATTTTTGCAGATATTAGGTCTACTGAATTTATTTTGTTTTTTGTCTTATTGAGTACCTGATATTGTTGTTTGTTGCTTGTCATTGTGTTTGCAGCAAGAGGTAAGTTCGTAATTCAAGCATTGTATGTTCGAATGTGAAGTAATTTGGGGTGGGTCTGAACTGGTTGGATTGTCGTTAAATGAAATGATTTTACTGAAAGAATACCTGGCCTTGTTTACGTTGGATGGATTTGAATATAAGATAGAATATATACTTACGCTACCACGTTAGACATCTGGAATGAAGTGGAATTTCACTTAACATGTTCTTCATTTCGTGAAGCTTATGGTAGTGATGGAGCTAGAGGTCGACCAAGCCGTTCGAAATCTCCCGCAAGGCCTGCTTTTGCTAGCAGTGTGTATAATTCATACAATGATCGTAATCAGAGTATTGGGGCTCAGAAAGGTGATGGATGGGATGCTGAGGGACATGGGCCTGACATGCATTCTGGCCTTAAGTTTGACCACCCTGGTTACCCACAAACATTGGAGGAATTAGAATTGGAATATAAAAGGGAGGCAATGGAACTTGGAAGAATTCGGGACAAGGAAGAAGATGAAGAGAATTACAAGCATCGTGAGGTATGTTTATTTATTTTAGCATGTTCTAATTTAGTTCAAGTGTTAAGCGTCTGACTGCAAAGGAGTTATAGTTTTCTTATTGCCATCCAGTCTACCCCTCCTAAACTTACCAAAAAAGTCCAGTCTAGCCCTCCTTAGACTTCAGATAGCTGGGACCAAACATCGGATCGGTCTTTTATGTGCAAGTTTGTATATTAATAATAACTTATTTTGCTATTTTCTTGCCCATGACTTTAACAACTGCCATTACAAATAGTTACTTCTTGGTCATCTTACTCGTTAAGCATTGGGTGTTTTGGACTTCGATTGAGGTTTTGGACTTCGATTTTTTTGGTCTGAAATTCCATATGTAGAATTAGATAGTGAAAGATTATAGAAGTTTATGAAACATTGTAAGCTTCTCTGGGTCTGTGGATGTATCATGAAATTGTCAGAAATCTATGATAGAATCATACAAAAAGAGTAGGCATCAACATACACCTACTTGAGTAAATGATTTGAAACTAATGTGCCAGTTTTATAGTCTATTTTTTTTTATTAATTTCCAAGTTGAAGGATCTTTCTCCCCCTCCCCCTCAAGTGGCTGAGCATCTCATCAGCCTGACATGGACCATCAAGTTAGGCATTTGGAGGTGTTGATTGGTAATCTAGTACCCTGTTTGAACCTTATTCTGGACAGTCTTGTCATGCCTCGATGCCTAAACTAGGTAGGTTAGTTTATGTGATTATTCTATGTTCTATCAATAGCAGAATTTTGTTAATGAGAACAGCATGACTCAACTCAATAAGGTATTAATGCCAACTTTGTGGGGTTGACCACATGAATGCTGTCTCTCTATTGCATTGCTAAGATCTTGTATGTCCTGTGTTTTGGGAAATTTAAAAGGGCTGATCTGGTTGTTGAGGGGTAGACTGCATATTGACTTTCCCTCGTATCAATTGTATTCCTATGTGTTTGCTCTCAGAATTGAACATATATTCTGAACTGGTCAACTCTAGATTTTACCATCACACCAAGAGATAGCCCTTCAAGTCTGTATGTTTAATAGGAGAATAAATAAAAGAATAATGTTGGATTTAAAAGTGAAAAACTAAAATTCAAAAGAAAGAAATCTTCCTTTGCCCCAAGTATAAAGTAGCTAACAACTCATCATGACAATCAATTCCTACTTCCTGAAACTTTTTTCACATTCTAGAATTACCTACTATAGAGATTGTAACTTAAAAAATTATTAAAAATTACCCATGAATAGAAATTATCCAGTTTATGCATTTGTAAGAAAATTATAATTCTACCCTTAGATTCCAAAATTGGAGAAAGCAAATTTCTCTTTCAGCTTTAAGAATCTAGTGTTATTTTAGGCATCACCCCAAGGTTTTTAAAGTACTTTTTCCTTCTCCAGAATCATCTGCACATGTTGAGATTCCTCTGGAGCTATAACAGGCTCAACACCATTTCAACTATTGACACGTTAACTGTGATTTCAAAATGTCAATTGATTTATATCTGTTGCTCTTTTTTCTTGCTCCATTCTTGTATGGGTATGCTACGTGTATAAAAACTGATTGCATCTTGGAAACAATAGCTTGCATTTCATTCTGTACCTGTGGGACATTAATCAAGAGTAGGTCTTTGTTGATGGCTAACAAATACCTTTAGGTTTGTCTTTCAATATCATAAGAATGATATAAGGGAACTAAATAAAATATTGAGCAGGAGAATTCAAGAAATTGAAAATAGCCTCTAATTCTAAACAAAGTGTGCAAGTTAAAGCGTTAGATTTTGTTCTTAATCTAAGCATTTCTAGCTTGATACAAAGGTCCTGTTTGCTTTTTGGATTCTGAAGGGGCAGGGGGGAGTCGGTCAATGGGATTGTGGTTCCTATTGACTGCTTTTCCCATTTTTTGATTTCACGTTCATTTTGGACCCATGGAAAAATCACTGTCCCTAGATTTCACTTACTTGCGCAAGTGATGCCCATCTCCCAGGTGGGTAACTTTTACATCTGGAGAAAAGTTGACAAGATGTGTAGAGACAACTTTGCCCATTCTAACAATGATTTTTTATGGATAAAAGAGCCATTGTATAATTTACCTGAGAATCAAAAGAACACAGGTAAATTCACTTACCCAGGTAAGTGTTTCTCAGGTAAATAGCTTTATGAAAAAAGAACAAGGCCAAAACCTAGGTGTGCGTTTTTCAGGAAAAACTTTCCCTTTTACTCGTAGTGTTTATTTGTATTAAACTTTTTCTTTGCTAATGAAGTTTTGCACAATTTTTCTGCATTCATGAAGTTGTGTGATTGTTGGTATAATATTTCTTCTCCTGAAAGAACTTTATTTTTTCTATTTACAGGCCATCAGAGAATTAAGGGAAAACTACATGAAGAAACTAGTTATCCAAAGGGGCATGCATGCCAAGCAGTGGGAGGAGTTTCTTGAATTTGATGTCCAAAGGCGTCAACGGGCTCGACAGCATATGTCTGCATCAGGGTTTGGTAGTTATAATCACCCTGGTTATTCTGACTATGATCGGCCATCAGGCAATCTGTCCTATACAGGGGCCAATATACCTATCGATTCAAGGGGTAGGTATCCATATCCTCTTGAAAATTATCCGACTAGGCCTCATGATACTTACGGGGAGTTCCAGCGTCAGAGACATGAAGATTTTGGGAAAGCATACAACCGATACTAGATAAAATTGTTAGAGTTCGGTGAGTTATCTAACCCCATTTTGTATCCAACTTTTAAATCTAGATGTGTTCTAGTAAAATCTATGGTCACAAAGCACCAGTTGTCCCGCAATGTTTCTATCCCACATTTGGTCGAAGTTCACATGATGTGGACGGGTCTTGGATAGATGGGAAGAAGAAAGTGATGAGACTGCCTTGCATAAAGGCATTCCTAGATCCCAACGAGCAGTATTAGTTTGCTGAAGTATGCAGTCTAAGTAGTTTGGTTGGTTTCTAGAGGGATGTTCATTTTGTTTAAGGGTGGGGTGGATTTAAAGATGAGGGGAAACATATTTGGGTATCAAAGGATTCTTTCTTTTTCAGCTTTCAGCTTAAAATTTTGTTCCAAAAATTTTCAGGGCCCAAATGTCGATTGGCTATGGTTGTGCAGGGAGCCTGAACTCTGGGTAAGTGCATAAATTATCGATTCTGATAAAAAATCAATGTTTGGCTCATGGACTTGGGAGCACTACGATATTTACTACGTTCTTTTTACATTTCAGACTGGTTATGGTTCTGCATTATTGCAGATCTTTGTTGGTAAACAGAAGCTTACATATGTTTTGGTTTAAAGACTAAGAGCAATGCTACATGGTTATGGATTTTTACTCTTAAAAAAAAGCCAAGGATTGCTTGCAGATAAATTTCTTAGATTATGACTTTGTTGCTTCAACATTTCGTACATATTCTTGTAAAACCGAACAGGTTAGATTGGCTGACGTCTTTACCGGTGAGGGTACAACTAGCAGAGCACGGAGCACTACCATGCAAACTTGTGTGTTTGGTATAGCTTATAAACATTTGTACTAGATTTGTCTTCGAAACCAAGTATTTGATAATCCGGACAACTAGGTGCTATTAGGCGCCAGTGAATAAACGTTTAACCATTGAGGGAATCCTTAAAATGCAGGGCCTGTTTGGTGTCTTTTTGTGTGGTCTTTTAGTTGTTTACAAGTTGAGAAGACTGAAAATTGGTCTACTTTTGTTTGGTACCTGGAAGATTTAGCTACCAAAAGATGGGACACCGAAATGACACGAGAAGCCCATTTTTGGCTGATTTTGGGAAGCTCCAAATGAAGCTTTTTGCGTTTTTCTTGTTTTAATCTCATGCAGAAAGATCTAAAACAACGTGCAGAAAGACGTACATCTACCAAACGGTCTTTGGGCTGCCCAAATCTTATGTCAAAAGTTCAATGTCTTTTGACTGTCTTCTCAAAAAGACTTTCTAAACGGGCCCAAAGTTTTTTCCCAGCATTATGCTGAATGCTGATTTGGCAATGATATCACCGTTTATCAAATATCACCGTTTATCAAATAAATGGAATCTATACCAAATACAATACTGCCTTAGTCAAGCTTGTTTGAAGTTTGTGGGATATATATGGTATTTGATTAAAAAATGTCTTTTAACCAGGGGCGGACGTGGTATTTGACTATTTGCTTGCACTCTTCTGTTCTGACTAGTGGCAACCTAATCGTTTAGGTCATTTCTTCATAACTATTAAGCACTGATTTTACGAAGGGTATTATTATAAAGTATTAACTATTATGAGAAGAATGATAAGCCAATGGTCTGCTCAATCCGGAGCAAGATTGAACTTAGGCAGGTGCGATTAAAAAGACAAATTGATGTTTAGTTGTACGAAATTTCACAGCCTACATTCATATTGTGAATAGTGATGAGCTATAATGTTATATGTGAAAAACTTGAGCAACTCAAGACTTGAAAAAAAAAATCAAAGAAATCTTATATCTAAATCAATCATTCAAGTGAGTTGTGTCAAAGAATGCCTGATGTGAGGTTTCTTCATGGTACATAAAACATTGTGAATTTGAAGCTAGTATCCCACTCCGATGCCCGGGTTCCTTGGAGGCTTGGGGAAGATAGACACCATTATAGATGTACCACTAGGCAAACCTGGATTCTTCACATTTGGTGAAATCTGAAGCATCCTTGAAAAGCTATTCAAACAGACTCGTTTTCTCATCCAAAATCTCTGAGCAAGAAAACTATTACTACGTAGCAGGATCAAGACCAGGAAGATAGTCCTCTTTGTCCTGTTGACTGTTGTGGTAGAGAAGAAGAAAGGGGAGAAAGTGGGAGGGGAGGAATGAGAGAGAGAGAGAGAGAGAGAGTACATTAGGTTTGGTTGTTGTAATGTTTTAAAAACTGATCTGGAGTCTGAATCGTTTTTGCCTCCATGTTGTGGGTCATTGGTATCTAAGTTGAATGTGACACATCGTTGCATGTCATCAATTGTACTTTTAGAGGAGTATCATGTGTATTTATTAAAATCTTTTATCTAATAGTAGAACATTGACATTTGGGGTGCAAATGGACCAGATCATCTGATCTGAGATCTGTTCCTATTTGGTCGGGTTCAGATCACCCCTGTTTGGATTTTCAGTTTGGATCATACTAGGTTATGGGAACCGATCAAAAATTCGATCAGATTTGGATCACTCCCCTATCTGATCTGAAAAGATCCGATCCGATATATGTTATATATTTATATAAATATAAATAATATATTTATATTATTTATATATATAAATAATATATTTATTTATATATATGTTATTTATTTATTTATATTATATTTTTTTGTAAATTTGTCATATTATTTACTTTTTATAAAAAATATGTATATATATGATGAAAATTATTTAAAAATGCTTATATTTTTTGTTTTTATTTAAATTGGTATATTTTATTTTTCTTTTAATAATTTATTAATTTTTAAAGAAAACAGATCAAATTGGATTAGATTTGAATATCCGACTTTCTGGTCGGATTCAAATTTAGATCCTTACCTATCAATTCGATTGGATCGGATTCGGATATACCCTGATTTGAATCTGATCCGATCCATTCGCATCCCTAATTGACATGGGGCTAAAATGAGATTTTGAAAAGTTATGGTGAATCTAAAAGAAATGTACAGACGTCATGGTAAGTTTTAGATAATATCTTTTTTTAGTTGAAGTTCACTCGTTAATGTTATTAGAATTGGGCAAAAGCAACTTTTGAATTTGAATAACAAATCGAATTAAATCTATCACAATATTAAAATATCAAGCTTGTGTCGATGATCAAGAGCAAGAAGAAGATCAATATTCTATAGAGACTTGGAGCCATTTTGGAAGAATGCGACAAGCTTGTAGAGAAGCTAGATCTTGGAACTGTGTACTTTCATGACCGCGAAGCAAACCAGGATGCGGATTGGATGGCGCATAAAGCTCTGAAAGCAAACTCCCCTATCAGTTTCAATCCTTTCTCCCTTCTTAGTCATTTAGAATTCATTTGTTGGTGTGACCTTTAGGGCTGAGCTACCCCCAGGTTTGTGCAACTCCTTCTTTATCTACCCAAAAAAAGAACTTGTCACTTGCCACTCTGTTGTAATATGTTGTGATCATTTCATATTTTGATTAACTCATTGTAAAATCAAACCCATCACTCATTTGCTATGTCTCCCAAATTCATTATTCATTAAGAAGATTGTCCTTAAGGGGTTTTCTAGGATTTACTGCAGATTGGAAGTTACTACATCTCCCATGGCCATGTTTAAATCAGTAGTTTGATATTAATGGTTCTTGCTCCCAACTCTGTATTTGAGAAGTTCTCCAAAGGTAATATGAATAACAAGGATATTTCTTACAAGGGCTTTCTATCACTAATGGTCTTCGGCACAAACACCTTCGTGTGTGTTTGGTAAGATTTTATCAGAAAAAAATCTGGGTAGAGTTAACTCCGAATTGATGGAGTCCATCCATTTCAAATTTCCAACAAGTTGCTAGACTCTTGCTTCTTATTGTGTTCAACAAGATTGGACATAATTTTGTGACCCATCATTTTTAAGGTGTGGCCCTTAGATAACATAGTTGATGGTGCATTGCTCCTTGGAGGAAGATTGTTCTTGTTAAATATCATACATGTATTTTATCCCAAGAGAGAGAGAGAGAGTAGCTTTAATCTTTATGTCCTTTTTCTCTCTCTTCACACTCCTAGTCTCTCCTTAGTTTCAACCTTGAGAAGAGATTGTTGGTGAAAAAAATATAATAATAATAACAATAATTAATAAAGAAATGAAAAATATATGATGCCAAAAGACATGGTAACGAAAGAGTTTGGACCAATTAAAACCTACTTGTGAATTTTGATAAATACCATCTAATTGGTTAATACGTTTATGATACCGGTTGATTGGTCATAAGTTTTTCGATATCATGTCGTTTCGGTATCATGGTTAAACCCATATAGTAAAGGCTAAAAAAAATAAAAGAGGGAGAATTTATGGATTTACCCAGTGATTTGGGGATAATGAAACTAAGGGTTCAAGCTTTTGCTTGCAATAAAGAGTTACCTCTTTTCAGATTCCAACCCTTAAGTTCAGTTGTTAGCAATTTTGTTAGTGAAGTAGCAAAAAGATTTGCATGTGATGTCATGTGCATATTTAAATATCTGAGACTGTTTTACCCTCCTTCGCCGAGCCTCTAAAACCCTACTTCTTAACCTTTATTATATGCTTTCAACACTTGAACGATTATAATTCCTTGGGTCTCTAGTAATAATCAGATTGCACAGGTGGTCCTGAATTATTATGAGGATTTGTTCATTATTCAGGGATGTGATGAGCTTGAGGATGTTAGAAACCTTTTTACCCTAGTTATTTATGATCAAAGGAATTCTTGGCTTACTAGCATACCTATGGAGGAGGAAATTCGGGAAGGAAATCTCAAGGCCCCTGATGGTTATCCATCAGTTTTCTTTAAATATTTTTGGGACCTATTAAAATTATATATAATTTAGCTTTTCCAGGAGTATTTTGCTAATAGAAAATTTGTTAGGTCTAAGGAATTCTTGGCTTACTAGCATACCTATGGAGGAGGAAATTCGGGAAGGAAATCTCAAGGCCCCTTGTCCTGATGGTTATCCATCAGTTTTCTTTAAATATTTTTGGGACCTATTAAAATTATATATAATTTAGCTTTTCCAAGAGTATTTTGCTAATAGAAAATTTGTTAGGTCTCTGAATGCAACTTAAAAAATTATTTCCAAAATTTTGGCAAATTGCCTCATGCCTCTTTTCGACAAATGTGTCCCCCCCTTTTCAAAATGCTTTTGTCCTAGGCCAGCAAATCTTGGATAATATTGTTATCACTCGTGAATCTTTCATCATATAAAATATATAGGAGGGCGCTCGGGATCTTGAAAGCTTATGATAGGATTGAGTGGAATTATATCATTGAGGTCCTAAAGGCCTTGGGCTTTTCTAATCATTGGTGTAGCTTCATTTATTTTGTATTTCTTCTGTCTCTTTCTTTTCTTGTTAATGGGGTAGCTATGGAGTGGATTACCCGGCGCATGCGGGGCCCCCTCTAGGGGTTTGAGGCAAAAGGGATCCACTATCCCCTTACCTTTTTTTATTCTGACCATGGAGGATCTACCTTACATGCTTTTTTAAGCAGAAAATCAAAATCTAATCTAGGGAATTAAAATATGCAAAAAATGCCCCCAACTTCTCTCTCTCTCTCTCTTTTTGGCGGATGATGTCTTTATTTTTGTCAAGGCCTCTAAGGAGATTGTAGCAAACCTTTTAGATGTTTTGAATAAATTCTAAAAAATGCCTAGGCAAGTAATCAATTGTGGAAAATCTTTTTTTTTTCTTGGTAGCAGAAGTGCAAATCATAAAGGGGCTAAGTTGCTGAGGAGGCAACTTAAGATGGGAAATCTAGATTGTCAAGATAAATACTTGGGAATTTCCCTAATTTGGAAAAAGAGCATAGCCCAATCAGTTAATTATGTTCTAGAACATTTGGTTCTTACCAAATCTATCCTCCAAGTTGTCCTTAATCATGTTATATTTGTCTTTAAACTTCTGGACAGCTTTAATAAGAACATTGATAAAATCTAGAGAGATTTTTTGTGGAACCAGAAAAACTAAATATTTCCATTGGGCTAATTGGGATGTTATCTGCTCCCTAAAAACTTGGGTGGCATGGGCTTAAGAAGGGCTAAAGAAGTAAACATACATTTTCAATGGAAATTGGCTTGGACCTTTCTTAATAAAACGGACTCTCTTTGGGCTAAGCTAATTAAAAGCAAGTATCTGAAGAATAATGAACTCTTCCCTTCTACAACCCCCCAAAAAAACTTGTTTCTTTTGGAAGAATCTTGCTAAAGCCCTAATTGAAAATTTTCCTTTTCTTGGTTATAAAGTAGGGTTGTTAGGAGAAGCCCCTTTATGGGGCATTCCTTGGATCATCAATCAAGAAGGATTTTCTACTTCCATGGGACCTCCTTCGAGTGGTGAGGCTTGCATAACCATTAGAAAAGTCCTAAATGGGTATAGGACTTGGAATAAAGGCAAACTAATTCATCTCTTTGATGAGGGGTGGATTGCTCTGATTAATCAAACCCATGTCTTTAGATCTAATATCAGAGATCATTTCTATTGGACCTTAAGCCTGAAAGGAAAATTTTCTCGTAGGTCAACCATTCAAGAAATGGTCTCTAAAAGGACTCATGGCTTGAGTCAACATCATATCTCTTTAATTCACAAAGTTTTGCCCCTTACTGGTCTTCACAGATATAAATTGTTTCGTTGGTCTTACCTACACTTCTATCTATGTTTTCTATAATGCTAATGTGGAAACCATTTCATGCCCATTCTTTTCTTGCTCCTTTGCAAGAGCTATCTGGTTTGCTTCCCCAATTGGGCATATACCAAGGAGAATTCATCCGTCGGTTATTAACTTTGTGATCTCTATAATTGGGGGATTGACTGATAAACAATATCAGACTAGATTCCTGGTTTGGCTCTTTGTAATAGTTTATCATGTTTGGTGGTTCAAAAATAATATGGTTTTTAGAAACAAAACTTGGACTTCCTCAAAGGCAGTGGCTCAAAGTCAGAGAGCAATGAATGAGTTGATGACTGTACTGCCTCCCCAAGATAAAGACAAGGAACATAACAAACCTATAAATCCCCCTAACCCCCTTTGTGTGCTTATCTCATTTGGGTTATTTTGTGGTAGTTAGGGATGGCAATTTCTACCCTACCTGGTGGGTACCCGCCTCGATAGGGTTTCTTTCCGCTTGAAGATCGGGTTTTGGGATTCTATAATCCATACGGGTATGGGCAGGATAGGATATTAGGCTAAACCTGATCCTCCCAACCCACATATTGTTGGAAAACATATAAATTTTATGTACTAGGTGTTAAATTTAATAATATTTTGAATTTTATGTGAAGGATGATTGATTGTTTATGTGTGTTTTATATGCATTAATCAAATAATTGAAAATTTTGTTATTTATTTATGTTATTTTACTTATTTATTACTTGTATATAACAATAAGTAATGGCAAATTAGATGCTAGTTCTAAACCCACCCCGCCCCTACCCTTGAATGTAGGGAGGGTTTGGATTCTCAAAATCCAATACGCTATGGGTTTTGGGGTGGGTACTAGTTGGAAGGTTTAAGGAGGTGGGTAGGGTTTAGAATTTACAAAATCTTCCCTGAACCCCATCCCTAATGGCAGTTGTGGGTAGGTATCAGGTTGCATGTTTTGTTCTAGAGATGGAGTTGAGCACAATCAAGGCAGCTATTGATTTTTTTCTCGAAAGGAATCTTTAAAATGTTTTAGTCCTCTCTGATAGTCTTCTTGCTACAAATATTATGAATTTTGGCAATCTGGAGGTTATCCTAGATTTTTGGCATTTGATGTGTATGTATGTATGTATATAAATATATATATATATATATATTTATATACATACATACACATCAAATATATATATATATATATATATATGATGAGGGGTAGTTTGGCCTGACCTAGTAAGTAGAGGTCACGTGGATGCGATCTGCCAGTTGGATGACAACTCAACAAGAAAAGCCTAGTTAGCTTTTAGAGCTCGGGTGTTCGATCACCTCGGTACAAAGGCACCTCGGCATAGAGTCACCTCGGCACTTAAGCCAGTTTAGGGCCTAGGGACCGAAGTGACATGTAATCGACTCCAGAAGCTTCTCAGCGGACTCTAAACCTCCCGGGATCATGCCACGTAATGGCAGGCCTCATCCTCTCCCCGCCCGGATCGGGCGGTAACGATACACTTCATTGACTGATACGTTACTCCCCGTCTAAAGCGGAAACATATTTCATCTACTCAGGTCAAAGATCCCGAAACCATTTCATGAGACCCACGACAGCTCAGCTATATAAGGGCACCAACCCCCTCCAGGGCCCAAGTATGCGCGATTATTTACATTCAAGCTTTTAGCTCGCAACCACAGCAAGAATACTAACTTAAGCATCAGAGCAACCTCACTGGGTCATCCACCCTAGTCTCTCTGATCTCTGTTTTGTAGTTTGATCCAACTCGCCACGTGAGCAACGTCTAGGCAACCTTCCATCTATGAGCTTCCAGATTGCGCATCATCAATTGGTGCCATCTGTGGGAAATGATCGAAAGGTCATCCCAATCTTAGTCACAATCTCAATCCCAATCTCAACCTCAATGGCATCTTCTAGCCACAACGGAAAGAGCGACATGAACGTCATCGGGGGGGCAAGAGCAACAAACAGTCACTCCCTAGGGTTCCTTGGTGAGCATCGGCCCCGTTCACCATCCCCCTGACTGTCTCCAGGGTTCCATCGCTGTCCGTGCCGCACACTACCTAACAGGTGAGTGTCCCGCTCCCCCAAGTGAGTGCCACATTCACGAAGCCTTCCGTGATTCCCCTTGGGGTCGGGCACTCCCAATTCAACGACCTTGTCCAGAGCGTCCAGACGATGCAGATTTAAATGCAGCAGATCCACTAATTCCAGCAGTTTCAGTTGTACTATTTCTATCAACTGTACTAGGAGCAGTTCCCAACACTGCAACCGAACCAACCGACAAATAATCATTAAGGGCAGACTAAGAACCAGAATTAGCACCAGACTCATCAGAATGTCCGCCGGTCTCCTCCCCGAGGTGAGAGAACTTCGTAGGTACCGGTCCCTCCCTCGGGACAGACCTCGCCGCGGGGTATAGTAGGCGATCGACATACTCCCCCTACTTCCCGAAGAGAGAGCTCAAGGGATAGGCCCAAACCTAGCCAGCCCGAGAGGTGCAATCAGCAAGCTCCACATCAAGATAATGTAGATTGTCAGCTCGGGGCCTGAGGCACATGCTTGAGAGGAGACCCCTCGGTTCCCCATGACAGCTAGCATTGGACACGTGGTGAAGAAGAAGCGGTGAGAAGAACCCCTGAACCACCTCGCCCTACCATTCGGAGCAAGATCGAGATACCTGACAACACTGAGGCTGGTAGTACAAACACTGCACAACCAAAGAAGCAGCAATAGCGACGTCGCAAGACTCGCCGTTCCTCAGCAAGGAACAGTCCACCAGCGAAGCCCAACCATCCAGTAGATCAAGGTCGAGAAAGAGAGGAGGTAAGCTCGGTGGCCACGAGAATGGTGCCTGCTCTGTTGAGCCGGCCATCCCCCTGTCACCTGAGCTCCTGGCGGCCCCAATGCCGAAAGATTTCAAGGTACCGTCGCTAGACAAGTATGATGGGTCTTTTGACCCCAACGATCACATAGACGCATTCCAGTCCCAGATGCATCTCGTCGGGGCCGATGAGGCTTGCATGTGCACGGCTTTCTCCACCACATTCAGAGGAGTAGTTCGGACCTGGTATAGAAACCTCGTGTTGGGTTCCATCAAAAGTTGGGCGCAGTTCGTAGACATGTTTATAGCCAACTTCATCACCAGTAAGAAGTGCCCGAAGTCACATGAGAGCTTTCTGAACGTGGTGCAAAGGGAATGAGAATCAATTCAAAGCTACATCAAGTGCTTCAATGAGACATGCCTGCATATACCAGACCTTGATCCAGTAGTACGTCTCACCGCAGCACAAAAAGGAATTACTCACAAAGAGTTCAAGTGGCAAGTTGTGGCAAACAAGCCAAAGAACATCACCGAGTTCCTCAAGCTAGCCGATCAGTTCATTAGTACAAAAGAGGAAATAAACCAGAAGAGAGAGGAAGAAGGAACGAGCAACAAGAAGAAAAGGAAAAAGAGCAAGTCCCCGAGCTCAAGGAGTAAGTCCCCCTCACGAAGTTACAGGTCGGGTCGGTGTTCCAAAACCTTGCCAGTGGAGAGAACCAACTATACTCTCCTTAACGCGAAGCCGGGAGAGATCTTGATGGCCATTAAAGATTCCTCCATCGTCAGATGGCCACCCAAGCTACGGGGAGACCCAACAACCAGGAACCCAAATGTTTATTGTCACTTTCATCAGGACCATGGTCACAACACAGAGAACTGTAGAAACCTCTGTGATAAGATCGAAGAACTCATCCTCCGAGCGTACTTGAAAAAATACATTTTGCACGAGGAGAAAGGACAGGGGGACCGAAAAAAAGATGTCCCAGAGAGCAGCAAGCAGAACGAGCAGCCACCTCGCCCGCTACTAGAAGAAAGACTGATCCGCGGGGTGATCAATATGATCACTAGAGGATCCATTGTAGCGGGGTGCACAACAGCAACAGGAAAACCTTCAGTCCGAGAACTGGAGAACGAGGCAGAGAACCCACCCAAGCGACCTCAGATCAAAGAACCCATTTATTTTACCGAGGACAATGCCCGTGGGATTCAGTATCCTCATGACGACACCCTAGTCATAAAGATGATCATCAATGACTTCGAAGTGAAGCAGATCTTGGTGGACTCAGGCAGTTTGACCGATATCCTCTTCAAAGGAACCTTTGACAAGTTGCAACGACAACAGAGCGATCTAAAACCAGCAGATGCCCCACTAGTAGGGTTCAGCGGAGAGGAAGTCAGGCCTATAGGTCGGGTCATAGTACCAGTGGAGGCGGGCACATGGCCGACTATTGTCCGGTTCAAGCACACATTCTTGGTGGTCACGACTCCATCCCCCTACAACGCAATCATAGGTCTGCCTATTACACATGTCTTACGCGCAATAGTGTCAACTTACTATCTCGCAATGAAGTTTCCGACAGATTATGGAGTATGGGTCATACGAGGCGATCAGCTCGAATCCCGAAAGTATTGTGGTTGCCCTCAAGGGAAAAGCAAAACTGGCAAAAGACGTCGAACTGGAGCAACCAGCAGACTACACCGAGGAGCGAGCTGCCCCGATGGAAGAGACGACCCACATATCGGTTTCTGAGACCGAACCGACCAAGACTCTCCAGATCGGTGCACTGATAAGCGAACCGCTTCGAACACAGCTAATAAGTTTCTTACTTAACAATTTAGATGTTTTCGCCTGGTCCACAACAAAAATGCTCAGAATTGACCCTAGTGTGATAATTCATAAACTTAAAGTGGACCCTTTAGTCAGGCCAATTAGACAAAGAAAACACAACCTTGCCCCGGAGCGGTGAAGGGTAGTCGATGAGGAGGTCGGGAAGCTCCTCGCCGTAGACTTGTCAGGGAGGTCCATTACCCGAGCTGGGTTGCCAACCCTGTGCTTGTGAAGAAAGCCAATGGCAAGTGTTGGATGTGCGTTGACTACACCAACCTGAATAGAGCATACCCAAAGGATTGCTTCCCCTTGCCCAGAATTGACCACCTAGTAGACGTGACCTAAGGGCATGAGTTGTTGAGTTTCATGGACACCTACTCTAGCTACAATCAAATTAGGATGGACACAGTTGACCAAGACAAAACTGCTTTTGTAACCAAACTCGGGTTGTACTATTATAAAGTTATGCCCTTTGGTTTGAAAAATGTTGGAGCAACTTTCCAACGACTTGTAAACAAAATTTTTGAACCTTTGATTGACAATAAAGTGGAATGTTATGTTGATGACATGGTCATCAAAACCCAATTTTCTAAATCTTTAATTGACGATTTAGATGTTGTTTTTCAAATTTTAAGGAAATACAATATGAAGTTAAATCCAAATAAGTGTGTCTTCGGGGTCACATCGAGCAAGTTCCTCGTTTACATAGTGAACCAACGTGGCATCAAAGCAAACCTGGACAAAATCAAGGTTATCTTAGAAATGCAACCACCCTAGAAAATTAAGGAGGTACAATGACTAACTAGTCGGGTAGCTGCCCTAAACCGTCTAAATCGGCAGGTCGATGTCTCCCCATTTTAAAGCAATTAAAAAGATGTACCTCTTCGCGAGTGATGAGGTGGTCAGCTCGGTACTAATTAAAGAGGTAGACCGGGTTCAACGACCCGTCTACTATGAAAGTAAAGTGTTGCAGGATGAGGAAACCAGATACCTCAATGTCGAGAAGCTGGCATACGCGCTAGTAGTAGCAGCTCAGAAATTACGCCCATACTTCCAAGCCCATACCATCGTCGTCCTTACTAATAGACTTCTGAGACACATCCTACTTAAGCCCAAGGTGTCAAGAAGATTGACAAAGTGGTCCATCGAGCTTAGCGAGTATGACATTCAGTTCGAGCCACAGCCAACAATCAAAGCCCAACTCTTGGCGGACTTTGTAATAGAATGCACGTTCAGCACACCGGCCCCTGAACTGACTGAGCCCACTAACGCGTCAGAGGCGTCCACCAGTGTGGCACCGGTTCCGGTCAGAGCAGTACTGACCTGGGACGAGGAGCCCTAGATCCTCCATGTAGACGACTCATTCAACCAACGAGAAAGCGGTGTGGAACTAATACTATACGGCCCAAGCGAGGTGAAGCTGGAGTACGCTCTTTAGTTTGGATTTGAGGCGTCGAACAACAACGTGAAGTATGAAGCACTAATTGTCGGGCTAAACTTAGCAAAAGAAAATGGGAACAGAACATCTCATCGTGTGCAGCGATTCTCAACTAGTGGTTAACCAAGTCAATGGCGACTATGAAGCACACAACTCGACTATGGAAGCCTACTTAACAAAAGTCAGGGAGATTCTACCAGGCTTCAGCTCTTATTTCATTAGGCAATTTCCGAGGTCCGAGAACGCTGAGGCCGACGCCTTATCAGGACTAGCAAGTACTAGTGACAACATCATGCGAACTATCTACATAGAGGACCTGCCTCGGCCTAGCATTCTCAAGGGGGCAGAAGAGGTCGCTCTTGTGTTGCAAGCGGAACCGAGCTGGATTTACCCGCTTGTTGATTATCTGCTCCACGGGATCCTAGTTGCAGAACTTAATGCAGCTCTGAGAGTAGAGCGTCAATCAGCCCGATACGTCCTTATAGTCGGATGGCTGTACAAGAGATCCTTCACGCTCCCCTACCTACGTTGCCTGCGACCCTCAGAAACTAAGCTTGTACTTTGCAATATCCATGAAGGATTATGCAGAGGACACTTGGGGGGCAGAGCCCTTGCCCAAAAAGCATTAAGGCAGGACTACTATTGGCCCATAATGAAGGCAGACGCATTCGAGCTCATCAAGAAATGCGATAGATGTTAGAGGCACGCTAACATCCTCCATCAACCTGCTGCCGATTTGAAGTATCTTACTAGCCCGTGGCCCTTCGTGCAGTGGGGAATCGACATCCTCGGCCCTTTTCCGTTAGCAACCGGGCAGGGGAAGTTCTTGGTTGTGACAGTGGACTACTTCACGAAGTGGATGGAAGCCAAACCTTTGATAAGCATTACAGTCCGGAATGTGCAAAATTTCTTATGGAAAAGCATCGTGTGCCGTTTCGGACTATCCAAAGTCTTGATTTCAAATAACGGGATGCAATTTGAGGACATCGAATTCCAGAACTAGTGCATCGAGATGGGAATTCAGAAAAATTTCACTTTGGTAGCACATCCACAAGCAAACAGATAGTCCAAAGTGACGAACATGGCTATCCTCTGTGGACTGAAAGCTCGCCTTGCACGAGCTAAAGGGTTGTGGGTGGATGAGCTACCTAGTGCCCTTTGGGCTTACCGGACTACCATCAAGACCATGACCGACGAGACGTCCTTTAACCTCATATACGGGACAGAAGTCGTGATCCCGACAGAGATTGAAGTACCGACATTGTGGCTCAAAGCTTATAACGAAGAGACAAATGACGACGAGCTCAGAACTAACTTGGACCTCGTCGAGGAGGTATGCGATCTGGCTCACATTCGAACTGCAGCTTACCAGCAGCGAGTAGCTCAGTATAATAACGCCCGGGTCAGGAAGCAACTACTCCGAGTCGGCAACCTGGTCCTCCATAAGGTAATGGTACATGATCCCGATGTGGGTAAGCTCGGTCCGAATTGGAAAGGTCCTTACCAGGTGCGATGGGTATTCAGAGAGGGAACTTATGAGCTCGAGACCATGGAAGGGAAATAGGTACCTCGAGCTTAGAACATTGACAACCTAAGGAGATACTACCTGTAAACCTCAACGCATGCAAAAACGACTAAGTCCATAGGATCACCGAGCTGATCCTATGGATGATGAACTAGAGAGAGGACCTTAAGTCACTCCTAGAAGCCTAAGGGCTATGGTGCCAAACAGACAAGAGACCTCCGCACGATATAAGACCTATTTGCCTCTTCGACTGGGTAGAGAAGTCCTAGTCACCTCTTCGGCATAGGTAGCTTAAGACCTGGTCTTCTCTTCGGCACGAGCTTATTAAAACCTAGTCGTTTTGGCATGGGCAAGGCGAAGTATCCCGGGCATAGATAGGTCGGGCATGTATCCTATAGTGTCTGTTCACCCCGGCGTACAATAACGATTAGACTATTCCTATTCAAGTCGATCTCGCTAGTTTGGGAGTAATCTATATTTAGAAAATTTTTGCACCTATTTGGTTTAGCTCGCCAAATCGGGAGTAATCTATACTCAGAAAAATTTTGCTCCTATTTGGTTTCGCTCGCCAGCTCGGGAGTAATCTACACTTAGAAAAATTTTGCTCCTATTTGGTTTAGCTCGCCAGTTCGGGAGAAATATACACTTGGAAAATTTTGCACACATAAAGTTTTGCAAAATATTTGTATTCCATTGATAAAACACTTCGAGTACATAGTAACAAAAAAAATTACAACTGTTTAGCCGAGCTTGGAGGCTCGGGACATCAAATATTTACAAAGGGGGGTCCAAGAAAAGAGGCATCAGTCAATTCGGGGCTCATCATCCCTAGTAGAGGCGTCAACGGGCAGATCAGTCTCCATGTGGTTTTCAGTGGCATTAGCTCCCTCTCCCTCTCCCGCTGTCTCATCGTCGAGAAGGTCGTCGTCGCTCTCCTCCTCGAAGTCCGGGTCCTTAGCGTCTTCGATGGCCATCTCCTTAGTGATCTTGAATGTTGTGATGGCATTGAGGTCGAGGTGGGGAAATTCACGTCGGGTCAACCATCTACTGAGCTTAAACCCCTTGCGGTAGCCCACTATCACAGCCTCGACCAACTTCTCGCGGTACTCCACCGAAGACTTATATTCCTTGATAGCCTTGGCTTTGGCTTCCTCCACCGCCTGGAGCAAAATTTCAGTCCACTCCTTCACCAACGCCTCGAGGTTCTCGTTCTCGATCTTCAGAGTCACCTCGCACTCCTCTAATTGCTTCTTCTCCACTTCGAGCTCCTTCTTCTCCACTATTAGCAGAGTTAATAGCTCCTTCTTGTCTCGTGCATCAATCTTTAGCTGGTTGATCTCGTTGCGAGCTAAGTTGAGATCAGAGTGGGCATTTCGGGAGGACTCCTCGGCTTCGAGAGCTCACTTTAAGTTTACCTCGGACTGGTAGGCCAGGGCATGGATCGAGGAATTTACCTGCCAAAAGAAGAAAACATGTATAAGTATAAAGAAAATCTAAGTATAAAGTAGCCTAAAGGTTAAGTACGTACCATCATGCAGTGTGTGGCTGCTCTAGCCCCGAGCTGAGCGACCGGTAAGTTAGCCCAATGAGCACCTCCTCGGAGAACACCGCATCCTTGATTTTAAGGAGGCCGAACTTCGGAGTCAAAATGCTCCGAGCAGAAGTATCGATACTCGACAAAGTGGTGGTCACCTACACGGGCTGGGGCTCAGAGGATGTGGTCTCCTCGGGCACGCGAGGCAGAGTAGCCTTGCCTTGGTCCTCCTTAACTAAGTCGATCATGGGAGGCTATTCAACAACTAGTGGATACTCAGGGACGGAGGCGCCGACGTCGGAGGTGGTGGTCTCGGTGTGGAGGCGAGCCTTCTTGGAGGCCCTCTTCTTCTTCTTCCCCTTCTGCATGCTCCCAAAGAGCTCATCGGCGGGGATATCAGCCATGACAATTGCAAAAAGATGACG